TACCTTAGTTTTTTTAATTTCCTATCTACTATAACAATCTTTATTGTCTGTGATAATCTAACACACGCATCACATTTAAGATACTTGTGTATTTAATGATTTCTTATATTTGCGCGAACACTACACATTGAATAAAACTACCTTTTTACGGATTTTATCGCGTTTAATTAACTTATTTTACTCAGAGGGGGACTCAGAGTCCTCCGTAAATATGGTTGCTGGAAAGCAACCGAAACGTCGGGAATATAAAATAAGTTAATTAAGCGCGATAAAATCCGTAAAAAAGTAGTTTTATTCAATACTTGTGTATTGACAAATTATACTCAATAAATAATAGTTATGCCCATTAGATTAGATGGCAGTTTAATCATTGTGGACAAGCCAATTAGAGAACTCCAAAATACGGGGAGCAGCGCTAAAGGCGCGGGATGTAATAAACTGCGCTTTCAATCTACCTATCAAGCTTAGTGATTGCGGGAAAATCTTGCTACTCCTTGATTCTACGCTGATTTCTAACTGTTGATTATTTAAGAGTTAATGACGATAATGATTATGATGCTGCGCCACATAAAAACTTGTATTTAATTACAAAATTTATTTATTACTTCAATAATATTTTAAATTTACATAAATATTGCTTTAGAAAAAAAGTCAAATAAAAATATTGCTTTAGTAATAAAATATCTATAAAACAAACATTTTAGAGATGCAATGATTGTTATCGCATGAAAAGGCTCATAAAATTCAGATAATTGAAAATCAAGAGTGTGCAACTTCCATTGTTTAAAATTTTAACCAGTTCATAATTACAATAGATTTACATTACAATTAAGCTGTGCCTGATATCGGACCAATTGCGACTATTTTATCTTAAGTTTTAGATTTTTAGAAAGTCACTGATATTCTAGATGTCAAGTGTATGCAGCATGTTTAATATCACAGTGTCATTTGTTTTAATTTTTTGTTTAATATATCAAGGTATGTTAATATTTTAAGATTAAGGCTTTGATTATTTTAAATAAACCTTAATTGCTATAATTTTATTTGTTTCAGGTGCACTAGAACAAACCAATGGTACACCTTTGGCTAGAAGATATTTTAAAAACCAACCTAATCATCACAATGAAACAATCATACCTAATAGTTCAATTGATTGTGAAGTAATGAAAAATGTACAATTTTGGGTGCCAGATCAAATAGAGAAAATATGGATTCCCGCATATCATTGGAAAATAAGGAAACCTTCCGAAACATTTTACAAAAATATAAATAATGTTAGAAGGAAACTTCAGCCAGACCAATCAAATTTTGTAAATAAAACTTACTTTTTAAGTCGATCTCTTGCTGATCAAGAGTCACAAACAGTTTTAAATAAATCACTATATAACGTAACTGAATACTATACTAAAGATCAAGACAATAATAAAAACACGCAATATACAATAAAAAATGATAATGTGACAAAAACTGAATTAGCAAATAGTAAAAATTCAAAGCAAAACCTTAGACATGATTTCAAAAATTATAAACCTGTTCTCAATAGTCAAGAAAGTAAACAGGAATATACGTTTAATGAAGTAGGAAATGAATCTGAACGCAATAACTTACAAAAATTCACCTCGTTAGAAAAAGAAGAAAATGCTCAAATTTATAACTCAAAATTAAATACAAGGAGATTTAATGACGATGGTATTAAAAATCAAGACAAATATGAACACGATGATACTGCTTTTAACATTGATGAAGTAAATAAGGGAGATTCTTATAAAGAGAAGAAATTACTTTTAAATTTAGCTGAACCACGTATCAATGAAACGCAAAATAACAAATATGAGTATGTTAAAAAGGAGGATGAGTATATTAGTCGCGAGAACCAGGACATTTTTATAAACTACAGTGATTCCCTTGAAGAGATGTCAAATGAAAATTTTACTTCGGAATCAGTTCATTCTAGAGAAAAAATACCACCATATAGAGATGACATGAAAACGCCCTACATAGTTTATTCACAGGTTTTATTAATGCGAAGTATTCGAATGTGTTATGCTTGTAGCGGTTCAAATCCAACTTGTTTGACTCCAAATAGAAAAACGTCAGTAAAATATTGTCACAGAGATCATACAGCTTGTTTAACAAGAAGTTATAGGCACCGACGTAAGTTATAATAATATTATTATAAATATTTTTTTAATGTCCAGTTTTAGGAACAACTCAATAACTACCTATTATTTCCTTTAATGATATCAAGAAACCTACATTGTTCTTAACAAGTTGTTTTATCCAATATAGACTTTATTTTCAATCAAAATCAAAATCAAAAAATGTTTTGACACCACATATTGGTTATGTATAATATAATATATACATAACCAATCTGTGGGATATGGTTTTAACATCTCCAGATTGATTTTTGTCAGTCGCCGGAGCCCTTCGTTAGTTATTATTGTCATTAAAATATTACATAATTACATTACACTTGTATAAAAACATTCTTGTTATAGATATGAATTATATTATTCGAGACTGTGGGACTACTTGTGAAGATCTAAATAGTTTTGATTCGACAGCGAAATATACAGCATGTTCCATTTGTCACTCGGATCTCTGCAACAGCGCTTATTCTCCTGATATCTGTAATATTTATTTAATTTTTATTTCCGTAATGACATTGTTATATAAAAAATAAACATAAATAATGACTAATACATTTTTAGTTTATTTTGTCAAGCGTGCATAAAACATAAACTGACTGTTTCATATCCGGCTCATCGATACGCATGTTCTGTGTCATACCCAGGTATCGGTATGTTTCAGCCTCGAATAGCGTCCTTATGTTGGTGGGCATAGATAAATCTATTTTTTTATAGAATAGGATGACAAACGAGCACACAGTCCACCTGATGGTAAGTGGTTGCTGTGGCCCATAGACATCTACATCTATCTTCGATTACGAATTAAAATGCAGATGCGTTGACAGCCGTGAGGACTAAGATAGAATGCCTCTTTTCCAGTAAAAAGAGATAAATCTATGCTCTCAGAGTTAGCAACCCTACCCCTTTCGGCATGGTGGACCGCACATTTATCCGTCCTCAGCTCCATTCTAATGGAATTTCCGAAATCACAAGTGATATTTAGCAATTCCACAAGATGTGAGCGACTGGAGGCGAATAACTTGAGAACTTTTATACGTGGTAGAGCCATATTGCAGCTATATACTAATAGTATAGTTGTAGCACGAATGGGTCGGCTCGATCGGGGAAGGACTACGCTGTCACAGAAAAAACCAGCGTAAAATAGCAGCTTAATGCTGCTGTGTTTCGTTTGGTAAGTGTAGAGAACCGGAGACCCTTTTTACTCACGGGTATCCTCTCCTCCGTGCGTCAACTGAGACAAGCACAATCCTCCCAACCACATCATCAAAAAGTTTCATAAAACTTATTATCAACTTATCTCTGTATTCAACATATCCGTATTTCTTAAAATTGTTCTTTGTAACATACTTTTTGTACAAGAAGAATGCGTTCCAGGCGGCTACTATATGAAAACGGCCAATATATGAAAAATGACTTTATTGTACCTACCACCTTATCGTCTTCCAAGGTCAAGAATAGTAACTGATCATTTGATCAGCACGATCAATGGCTGACATGAAGCTGTTGTATCGTGCTATTTCTTTAAATTTTTTTGCGCTTTAGCACACGTAACTGTCCGTAACTGCAATCATCTCAGGTTGATCCAAAGTAACGTAAACCTTCCCTTTTCGTAGCCAAGAAAATTTTCACCTTTTTGCAACTATTTTTTTTGCTAGAAGTGTTGAGTTACCCTTTCCATTCTTCTCAAGGAGCCAGACGTATGGGTTTTCAGGTCAGGAAGTTTTTCAGAGAGAGCCACGAAGTTATAAAAATTATCCATGTATAATTCATATATATTTTCATTGCCTTTAAGCAGATAAGGTCTTATTAAACATAAGACAAATTTTTCTAAGGTCTTTCCATCCGTATTGGATTCATCAACGTCTGTTTTACCACAATACATTTTTGGTTCAAAACATATCCGTCATAAAGAGTTTAGAAAATTGATCGACCCTAGAAAGAATTTTAGATTCATCAAGTGATAGCTCCTTATCAGGATAAGAGACTTGACGGAAATTGTGAGTCACTATATCTATGAATTCATTAATTTTATCTTTCGTTTTCGTGTTGAGTTTAGATGTGCATAGGCATCGTAAATTTTGCTCGTAATTTCGAACCAACATTACGTAATTGAAAATAAGATTGTAATATAATGGGTCGGCATGAGTAAATAGCTTTCGATTTTCAGGTATACGAATTTCTCCGGAAAGCAGAGAAGGACCAGGAAATTTATACATCTCCTCTATATTTTTCTCATGAAAAACTCCGTGTATATAGTGTTTAGTATGCGGCCGGTTTGATTTACTAATGAGTTACCGTATGCATTAGTGCAATTCACTAAGTACTGAACAAAGCAGTAAATCGAAAACATCTATTTCAGTTACGGGTTGATTTATGTGCATGCGTGGGCCGGGTAATGTTTGATCAAAGTTAAAGTTAAGAATATCGGCAACAATATCTACCCATGCTGAGGTGGTTTGCAAAGGCTCATTAATAGTCTCAGGTGTTTAATTTGATATTATATCGGTGGGATTTATATCTATTTGTTCAGTTTGATGGTAATAATAATAATAATAATAATAATAATCTTTATTTCGGACCAAAATTAATCCATAGTAGTGTTAGTAACAATTGACTTATAAACTAGTGTTAGTAAACATTAATGTGTGGACAAACTTTTTCAAAATCGGAGAATTATAGTTCTCCGCTACTGTTTTCAAAATGCTGTTGTGACTATCTCTCACCCTTCTAAGAAGCGAAGCTGTTTTCTTAGGTATTATCGCATGAAAACCGTCCGTGCGAGCTTGCGCAAACATCTCCGACGCACTACAGTATCGAGGCAGTCCCAACAACATTCTGAAAGCATTATTATATTGAACACAGGGCATCCAGCGACCTTTTAGTGTAATTGATCCATAGACTGCTCGTATACAGACTCTGGCAGTATGCCTTAAATAGGGTAATTTTTACTAAGTCCGTACATCGAGCAAATCTACGGGCCAGCATGTTACTCCTGACCGCTAGAGCCCTGCGTTCCCTCTCAATGTCTACATTATCTTTCAGGTCATCTGCAAGAAAATGACCAAGATATTTAAAGGACGTCACTTTTTTAATTTTTGACCCATTCAAGAACAGGTCAGGTTCATCAGTCCTAGGCTTGCCCCTGATGCCAAAGACAATGTATTCACATTTTTTGACATTATATGCCAACCCATGAGACTCAGCATAGGCTACACACACCTTCAGTAATTCTCTTACTGCCCTCACCGACGGTCCCATCAGCACCATGTCATCTGCATAGCTGATGTTGTTAATACTAACCCCACCAACACTGCATCCGACACGCTTGCTACTGAGCTCGCCTATGAGAGCATCTATATATAGGTTGAATAATCTGGGAGACGTTAGACCCCCCTGCCTTACCCCGCATTCCAACCTGTACGGTTCACTAAGAGTATCGTCCCATTTCACATGATTTATTTGTTTACTGTACCAATATTTGAGCAGACCACATATCTCTGACGGTACACCCCTGTCCTCCACCTTCCTCCAGAGCACGTCATATGAGACGAGATCAAATGCCCTGGAAAGATCAAGGAAACAGGCATATACCGGGGTACCCCGATCTACGTAATATCGAACGGTGTGCTTTAGACTTAAAATAGCACTTTCGGTTGATAGTCCTGGTCTAAACCCGAACTGTGTGTCATGCAGTTGAATGTGGTCACTTAAGATGGTATCAAGCACACCGTCCAACACCTTTGCTATGATAGTCGCTAAGGAAATAGGACGATAGTTACCCTTGTCAGAGATGTCTCCCGTCTTGTTCTTCACAATGGGAACTACTATTGTCTTCATCAGATTTGTAGGCAAGTAAGAGTGACTAACACACATTGTGTAGAACATGGACAGGACTCGTGGCAGGTGAAATCCAGCGTGCTTCAGGTGCTCAATGCTGAGCCCGTCATGTCCTGGAGATTTACCTCGGCTCATACCTATTATGATAATGCGTATCTGTTTAGCAGAAATATGCACAAGAGGTTCCTCTCCCCCACAAACGGTCCCAGCACTACCCACCTGTGTTGAGGGCCCAAGTGGAGATTGTATTTTAAAATGTTCCATGAACATATTAGCGATGTCACTGGGTTCACTAATTCCTTCCACGCTCGTAGCAAGACTAGTCTTAGATTCCAACTTATTGGTCGACTTCCAGAAATTTTTAAAGTCCCTATTTGCTCTTTTCTGAGCTAATCTATCCATTTTGATTTGCTCAGCATTTTTCTGACAAAATTTGAGTTTAGTCTTAAAAATTTTTCGATTTTCACTCATTTCATCATAAATAGGACCAGATAAGGGACGACCACTGAGTACCCAGGTCTTAAAACTACATCTGGCCTCATAGTGAGCGTCTTTTACATAGCTGTTCCAACCACATACTCGTTTACCCCGCCTTGGTCCCCCCTTATAAGTCACTCTGGATTCCTTAGCCGCCTCAGATAATATACTAACAATCTGTTCATACAAATTATCTAATGCAACCCTATGTTCGGCCAAGCCACAGAAGCCATTCGCACAGTTTATAAACTCATGAGGAAAGTCAATGTCCCGCAATTTGCTATTACAAAGGTTTTGACAAGATGATAATGAGTAGCAGCTACCTATGCTGCGCCACTGACGTTTAAAATATTCTCTTTTTATCTAGAACACCTATTCTATATAAGAATCTATCTGGCTTTGTGACACTACACTGATTCCTTCCTACATATTTTTATTTACGGAACTTTAAGGGCGTGCAAATTTGATAAATGCGTAAAAGTATTAAAGTTGACCTTGAAATAACGTATAGAGAATTAAACAAGTTTTCGTACTCATAGCAGTAACTTGACAATCAATTTGTTGCCTTGAGTAACTGCAAGAATGGATTGTGCTTCTACATAGCCCCTGTCTGGATAAAGCAACTGGCAGCAATTGAATGTGTGAAGCCGAAGATCGGGCTGATTGGCGTGTATTGAGGAATTCTATGATCAGCATTAACTGCCACAGGCTAATGGTGATACAGTCCGTATATTTTTAATGAGATGTCGTTATCTATGATGTTATAAATAAATGCAAATACCCTTATTCTGATGTTCGGAGGGACATTTGAAAATAGTCAAAATTTACTTCTACAAATTTTTCTACCGATTTGTTATTTTCTAATATTAATACAAATATGTATAAAATTAAAAAAAACTGACCAATTGCGTGTCGGGCCAATAGAGGTAGGATTCCGTAGTTGCTCGTCACAATACGTGGGCTTCCTTGATAATGATCATAATAAGTTCGCGTTTTGACCGCTACTCGTATGACGACTAAAAATGAGCCAAAATAGGAAGATCGTAACTGCAGGACTTATTTTCAAATGAGCCTAATTAGGGAGTGCTATTCAAAAATATTAAAAAACTTTTCGATTTTGATAATAATACCCTATGTATCCCGCAAATGAAAAAGTAAAGCTAATAGTAATAATGCATATATTATATCGTTTTCTTCATAAAAAGTTTGTTTTTAACAGTTTACAATAACATTACAAAGTTATTAATGCAGCTAGTTTTAGGTCATTTTCTATGGAGTTTTTTTACTAATTCAAGCAAAGAGTTTTTTTCTAATTCAATTCAACGAAATTTTTACTAATTCAAGTGCATTTTATACGTTGGCCCACTATTACTCGTTAACTTCTTAATTCTACTTAGCTGTGATAGTTTTCTTTTAACTTCATAATATATACTACTAGAATAGAATAGAATAGAATGATTTTTATTCAATATGGATTATTACATAATACTTATTGAAAGTCATTATTTTATTTACCACTGGTTCGGAAAATACCTCTGTCCTGGGAAGAACCAGCAAGAAACCCAGCGGGACTTTTTTTTTAAACATAATTTCACTTAACAATAATTTTGTTTATACAATTTTAAATGAATTTTCATAGAACCAGCATGGTGGTGATCACCTTATTCCCAGGGGTTATTTTCATTCATGTATTCCTTGATATTATAATAACCCTTTTTGTACAGTTTTTCTTTAATAAAACTTTTAAACTTGTTTATTGACAAACTTTGAACATGTTCTGGGATTCTGTTGTAAAAGCGTATACATTGCCCCATAAATGAATTACTAATTCTGTGGAGTCTTGTAAGTGGCATTACAAGCTTATGTTTGTTCCTAGTGTTTAAGGTATGAACATCCTTATTCTTATTAAAGCTATTTATGTATTTATGTACATACATTACATTTTCATAAATATATTGCGATGCCATGTAGAAAATGTTTGGCCATGTAGAAAGAATGAATGAGGAAAGAGTGACAAAGCAAATTTATGTTGCAGAGGTGAACGGCATAGTCGGGAAGGGTCGCCCTAGGCGAAAGTTTATCGACCAAATTGGCGATATATTAAAAATGGGCCAAATCAAGAGTACCTTTAACCGACGAGCGTGTATGCGTAGGTATATGGATGTGGAGGAAGCGAGAGAGGTGTGTCAGGATCGTGCCAAATGGAAGTCCATAATCTCTGCCTACCCCTCTGGGTGACAGGCGTGAGTGTTTATGTATTATGTTATGTATATTGCGATGCCAAGGTTAATATGTTTATTTCTTTAAATTTTTCTCTAAGGGACTCTTTACAATTTAGATTATAAATCGCCCGTACGGCTCTCTTTTGCAAAACAAATATAGCTTCAATATCAGTCGCATTACCCCATAGCAAAATTCCATAAGACATTACGCTATGAAAGTAACTAAAATACACTAACCTAGCTGTCTCAACATCTGTGACACTTCTAATCTTTCTTACAGCATATGCTGCAGAACTAAGTCTGCTTGCTAATTTAGATATATGGGGGCCCCATTGAAGTTTCGCGTCAATAGTAATACCGAGAAAAACAGTGGTATCCACAAGACTCAACTCCTCCCCATTTAAGAGCACATTGGTTTTCGAATGTTTCGAATCGAAATCGAATGGTTACTATTGTGTATATTTTCCATATTTCCAAAAACAGCGGTTTAGTTGGTGGTGGGTAGGGGACACACACATGACTCTAATGAAAAATACCAATTTAAACCTAAATATTATTATTTATAACAACCCACAACAAAATGTGGGAACTGTTGCCGGGGTATGGTGTGGATGGTCAATTGCTAAGGGCTGTGCATGCAGTCTCTTTACTGTGACTGTAAAGCCTGTGTGCGGGTAGGGCATGACCTGTCACCCATGTTTAACGTCCAAACGGGCGTAAAGCAGGGTTGTGTCATGTCTTCCTGGCTGTTCATACTGTATCTCGACAGCTGTTTACAGAAGCTGAAATATAGTTGTTTGGGTGTGGAATTGGGTGACATTAAAGTAAATTGTCTGCTGTATGCTGATGATGCAGTGCTTATTGCACCATCAGAGGCAGAACTGCAGGCATTAGTCACGTGTATGAAAGAGGAATGTGAAATTAAAGGTCTCCGTTTGAATGCTAATAAAACTAAGGTTCTGGTATTTGAAAGGGACGAAGAGAGAACGAAGTGTGAAATATGGGTAAATCAGGAATGTCTAGAACAGGTAAATGAAATTGTATACTTGGGGAGTGCTTTTAGCCGGGATGGAAGATGTGATTTAGATGTGGATAGGCGTGTCGCTGCAGGGAACAAAGTCAATGGTGCCCTGACTGCGTTAGTCAAAAGGCAAGGCGTAGCGAAGAGTGCACGCCTTGCAATACATAACGCAGTGTTGGTACCGACTTTGTTATATGGCAGCGAAACCTGGGTATGCCAGAAGAAGCATAAAAGTAAGTTGAATGCAGTGGAGATGCGATCTCTTCGTAAAATGTGCGGCATTACCATGGCCGACCGAAAGCGAAACGAAGAGATTCGAAATATGGCAGGTTTGAAAGATGACCTTATCACAAAAATTGATAAGGGCGTGCTTCGGTGGTTTGGGCACGTTGAGCGAATGAGTGAAGACCGAATGGTGAAGAAAATATATAGCGCGAAAGTTAATATTAAAAGGTGTCGAGGTAGACCGAGACTAACTTTCGAAGACCATGTGAGCAAATTCCTCGAAGAAGGTAGGGTCAAAAGTACTCGGATACCTAGACGTGCATGCATGAAGAAGATAATGAATCTGAAAGAAGCGAAAGAGGTTTGTAAGGATCGTGACACTTGGCGATCTGTTCTCTCTGGCTACCCCGTCAGGGATTGTGCGTGAAGATAAGTAAGTAAGTAAGTATAACAACCCCATTAAACCTAAATATTTCGCAAACAGACACCTGATTCGAAAAGATGTTGTTCCACAGCCCCAATATTTTTGAAAGACCTATCTAAACATGATGGAATATACGGGTAAAAAGAAAATCATCCTCCATTTACTTGTATAGGACAAGACGTACGTGTATGTGCTGACTGCTTACTTTTTTGAGCTGCTTTTTACATAAGACGTTAATTTGGTTAGGCACTAACTTCTTTTGTATTTCTACAACTAAACACTAAGTAAGTTTTCGGGGTTGGATTTAGAATCGTTTAATATATATATATATATATATATATATATATATATATATATATATATATATATATATATATATATATATAATATATAGGTAAAACATGGAAAAACCAATGCAATACTACTGTGAAAGCCTAAGGACGGAAGACCATTTCAAAAACTAGTGTCACATTATTATACTTCAACATTCGTGGTTATTTTTTACCGCCCAGAAATACATGAGCACCCAGAAATCCTTACAGTTGTGATAGGACACCTCCGCTCCTCCTTCCCCCCGAAGATAAATGTTCATTTTTAGGTTAGGTCTATGGAATTAACTTTTTATTTTTTCTTAATAACGATGTATTAGGAGTGGTGTTAGGGTGTAGGAGACACTCCCCTTTCCTCTCTATCCCCACTATCCCTTTCTGCCAAACGATTCGAAATGTTTAACGTGTTTCGGATTAAACAGTAAGACGACTAGTACCTACAATTAAATGTTGTGATGTATTTAATCTTAGTTCTCAAGAGTGACGCTTCTTTATTAGTATTTGGAGAGGGAAGCCTTCTTTATTAGTATTTGGACTACGGGGACCATCTATCATTAAGTGAACTGTGAGATCGTTTGTCTCTTAATGTAATAACAAAAAAGTTTTACGAATATGTGGCTCTTCAATGTCGTTGACACGTCGGCAGCTGCAATTAATTAGCCAACGCGTATAGGCTCCGCGACAGACATTAGTCCTAATTAAAGAACAAGTGCCATTAAAAATACAAATTCATTCAATAGAAGACACACTGAAAATAAACGGAAGAAGGCATC